GGAAGGTTTGTAAAGGTGAAAGTGGGAAAATTGTAGGAATCAATTTTCTATCTCAACGGGAGTTATGAATGCTGACATCTGAGAAAATGCATGGGGCAAAAACAGTGTCATCACCACCTACAATCTAATGAAATCCAATACAAGAGCTACGAAACAACAATCGGTCTGTTGAGATTACATTAGTGAATAGCAGGGTCACTCGCATGCTGTTTTTAGAGCAGTTCACAGTGGTGGTGGTGCACTGGGCTGCTTTGAGTCAATGTGGTGCACTAAAATAATTAGTCTGTTAAGAAAAGATTGAAAACGGGTGAATAAACTGTTTGTTTATTTTACTTTAACAACTAAAGGAAACTAATGTGCTAATGTCGTCCAGTGACATTAAATTAAATCTCATCTAAATTCTATATCTCTTGTTTAAGTCTGAAAACAAAGGTTCATTTCTATATACGAAATATGACTTCCATTATCTATCATTAGCATCATTAACAGCTGTTTCTGATTTGATCCATTTTCTTATAGAATTTTTTATACCTGATGTGAAAAATATTAAACGTGTTTATATTTTTTTGAAAACTTACCAGGCACCAGGTTCCAGAAAGATGTAAGTTTTTTTGAACATTAAGATATTGTCCCATTTTTTCCTTTTGTGAATCTGATGTATATTGTAAATAGAGCTGGGCGATAGAACGATAACGATATGTATCGCGATATAACTTTTACTCGATAGAGAAATTAAGCTATCGCGATAGACCTCGCCGCTCTTGTCCTCTTAAAAAAAAAAAAAAAAAAAAAAAAGGTCAGCCAATCCAAACTAAGTAGAGCAGAGCCGAACCAATCACAGCCGCAGCGTCACGTCGCGTGACTTGTTACGTACAGCACAAGTGCCAAGCCGCACGTGTGTTTGTTTGGGAAGCAGCCAGCGGGTAATGGAGCCAGCGCGTAATGGAGGAAATGAGTGTACCGACTAGAAAAATCAACCGAGCGTGACCGAAGAGAAAACAGATGACGGTTCCAATGCCGGAGAGATTGTCGAACGGAAGAAGCCATAGAAGTTCCGTAGTGTGAAGGTATTTCGGCTATTTCAAGTCTGACAAAAAACAGAGTAGCTGCACTGTAAATTGTGCCGAAAGCAAGTCTGGAAATACAATAAACTGGTGCATGCGTCACACTGTGCGCCACGTTATTGTTTCGGTGAAATGGATTTCTACAATACTGTTACTGTTAATTCTACTCTCTGCAGTGTTTAAATGCTTACATATACACACAGTTAGTGTCCCTCCACACATACGACTCGGTTCTGCTTCTATGCCCCAGCTTTGTTTACTTTTTCCCACCGAGGCTTCTAGACTTCTGATTGGCCAACATTTCTGCACGGTTAGGAATCTAGCGCCACCTGCTGCTTTGGCATGTTCATAGCAGCGTTTTCCTTCATTTCTCCCTTTATGTGTGGACGGGATTATTTTTTAAAACGAAAACGGAAAATCTCTGTTTTCAAAAATACCCGTGTACGTGTGGACGTAGCCTCAGTCTCTGACTGGAAGCGCTAATTCGTCATTCGGCTTTTGTCAGACTAAAGTAACTGTTAAAACTGTTTGAAAAGCTCAGCTATACAACAAGGAGAGATTGAGAATTTCCTTTTAGTTCTCAGTTTATTTGATATTGACAAAAGTTAGTCAGTTTTGTCTGTTCTTCTGTAAAACAAACTAAGATTTATTTTTAGAATTAATATTTTGTTTCTAAGTGGAATTGACAGTTTAGTCTGTTTCGTTTGTTCTATTTTGAAACTTAAACGCTTTAGCGGCTGCCTTTTGTGTAGTTTGCAATATTTGCCTTTATTTATCTGAAAAAGTCTCATGTTCCTTAAGTACATCTACCCTGTTGAACTTATTATGGGAAATAAATATTTAAAAACAAGCTGCTGATTATTTCACATTTTACTTGTGAGCAACGGCACATTTAAATCTTACAAATATAGTTATTTGGCTTATATCGTGATAGATATCGTTATCGCCTGAAATGAAAAAAACATATCGTGATATGAAAAAAATCTCATATCGCCCAGCTCTAATTGTAAATGGTAAATGGATTTTTGGTGGAAGTTAAGATAAAGGCACTAACAGGTAATGTGTGCAAACAAAAAGCTTCCAGGTTGTGAATTTATATCATCACAAGGTTCATACCAAAAGTCAGAGCTTGTTTTGTGCTAACGAGTTTGTGTCTGTTTGAATAAGGATTTGTCTGCACAAAGAGTTGTGCATACAGCTCACGTGGAACCCAATAGCACGCACGGTTCATAAGGATGACGCTATACATAAATCGAAACAGGGCATAGTGGCATTCACCTCAAATACCAGAAGTGCAAAGGTCAAAAACCACAGAATGAGAAGCCTTAAATAGCGGCTACAGTGAGAATGTTTTTTAAAATACTCGTTTCACATCAGCTCTTTATAAAATATAGCTTTGCTCCTCTCAGTGGCTCACAAGAACCAAGACCAGCACAAGCAAGAGGAACCCTCGGACTGGTTGTTTGTGACGCTGCCCCCTGGTGACAGTAAACAGCGATCTGTAGGCTGTGCATAAGACTACTGCAGAACCCTGTTGGAGCCCCAAGTCACCAAGATGTGGAGGGGTGGGCGTGCTGACCTCTGTGGTCATCTTCAATTTAGAGGTGGGGACAGACTAAAAAAAAAAAAAAGTTTAAGCCAAGTTGGGATTTTCTTGACAATATGTTAGTTCTGACTATGAAACAGGAAGATGTAGAAGTCAGAATACTGACAGAAATTACATTTGTTCCTGCTAGGTAGCTGATGCTAGGTGGTTAAATCAAAGGGACTAAGGCACCTCCCTCTGCCAGTGAGGGGAAAAAAGGCTAATTAAATATGTTATGTCAAAATAACATGTCAAAAGAAATGAGAAAAAAAAATTTTTCAAATTAAAAACATCTGGACCATGTGTCCTCTCGCTCCTTGTCAGCAGAATCCACAGGAAGCGCTACCCGAAAAATGCATCCACAACCCACCATGTTCACCTGAATGTAGATGAATAAACCTTTTCACTTGTCACAGCAGGAGAAGTGGCGCAAATAACCTAAAAATCAATAACATTACTGATGAGTCAGTTGCATTAAGTGCAGTTAAGGTATGTCAGTGAGCCAACAGGCACAAAAGACTGCACTAAGTGAAATATGACCATCATACCCACTTATATGCTTTTTCAGCTATGACAAAGCCGTCTTACTGATCTTAAAACCATGCAATTACCTGACGCATCCGGTACTGACAGTCAAGCCGCAAAGGACTCTTAAATATTGTTACCTTTGCAAGCGCTGCAGCTTATTTAAACCATTCTGCACAACTGCTTTACACATGTTATGTGGCATATTTTTCACCTCCTTAAGGCAGATAAAGTCTGAAGAGCTCAAATCTCCAGCAACACTTGAATCTCAAAGAACTTTGCTCGACTGACAGATTATAGCCTGTGGCCTTCACTGAGGTCATCATAAAACATTGAAATTTTAAAGTAAGGATAAGTATGGAATAGGAAAACAAACAAACAAAAAACAAACAAAAAATCCCCAGCAAATCATAAGTATCCATGTATAGTTCAGTTAATTTGGCAGCTACAAGGATGGGCTCAGCATATTAAGACTTATTAATATTTGGGTCATTCTTCTGTCAGGAGCATTAAAGATAACACTCTAACATAACAGAAAAACAACCAATACAATAAGTAACCTACCGTCTGCTAACAAAACTTCAATACTAGACTATAAGGTCAGTACTTAACAGACTGGCTGTTATACTTTTAGCTTAGATGCTAAATGTTTTTGTTTGTTTGTTTCGTTTTTTTTAAATGGCTGCTATTTTTAGTCATGTGGCTCGTTAGCATTAATGTTTCTACAACAAATGATTCTGTCATCAGATGAAACACCTCTTAACCTTGAGCATGTAAACTGCGCCTCCGTTACTTTTTGTGGAGGAGCTCAGGAAGTCCAGGAGCAGGATAGCCTAATTTTTGAAAACTGAAAAACTTGCATAGAGCTAATCTTTCTATCCATGATGTTGTTCCACCATCATGGATTATATTGTAAACTAATTTTTTTGCTTTTTTAGGGTTAACTATTTTACAATTGTAAGCCAGTCACATGACTACAGCTGTAAATTAGAAGTCTGCAGAGCCCTTACATGTCACCTCTCACTACAATCATCAGCACATCAGGTGGCCAATAATTTAATACATTTAAACCGCTGGGAACGCCCCAGTGGATGTTTCATCCTAGGTTAAAGCAATATTTTAAAAATTCATATCATGCATAAAATTATGACTATTATATAACCCAGTACTAGTTGGGCTTATGGTCAGGTTACATCAGTGCAATCACTGAACACATGGTTAATACCAAATTTGGTTACTAATCCTATCGTGTTTCCATTTTTTCCCCCTTATGTTGACCAATATCAGCATACTGGCAAAAAAAAAAGAAAAACAGAAAAAACAAAGATGGCGTTTACTACTGTGTGTCTATCAGTTTGGCCCGAGCTAGAAGTTCACGGGCCCACACTCAAGAGCTACAAGACTTCTTTGTTTACTTGTAAAAAAGAGGAAATAATTAAAACAATAGCAAAGAAAAATCAATTTAACACTATGAGTCAACTGGAAATTTTAATTTTCCATCAGTGCATCATTATTTATAACCCCAAAAGCACAGTGCGGATCATTTGCTGACTGTAGAAGCAACAAATATATAAATGAATAATACAAGCTATATTCTGAGGAGATCTTCATTTTTTAACATTTATATAACGCAACTCACTCATCAAGCATCGATTCTCGTCTCTGTGACTTAAAATCGAAAAGGGAGATCAATACCGATATGCAATCCTAATTAAATGTAATAATTCTTTGGTCGGTTTGATGAAGGAATTCAATCTGTCAAATTCACAGGATGACTTGTGAGTCTGCTGCTGTGTGCGTATACGCAGAACAACTATGGCACTTACTCTGAACGCAGGATTGGCTCCCAGTTCCAAGAGACACTTGACAGCTGATGTGCACAGGTTGGATGCGGCGATGTGCAGAGCTGTGCCAAAATCAAAGTCACTGCAGGTGGCATCAACATCTACAACATAAAAAGACCATTGGGAGGTTAGGAATACACAGTTATATGGCTTGTGTGGGTGTGTTAAGAATTAATTGACACTTTATTAACTTGCATCATTTTCTACCTGGTGTCTCAAATGCAAACACTGGGTTTAAACATTGTTTAAGCAACTAAGTGTAAAAGACAAACTGAAAACCTGCCCCATACACACACACCCTGCCTTTGTTGAAGTCATTTCCTAATTAACCTGCTCTTATAAAACCAGTTCTATTGCCCTCACCGTTTGTATTTGAGCAGACTGCTGAGAGCAGAACTGCTGCATGGTTTGTCTGAATAAATTAAGCACCACTTTCACAGCAGAGTTGTTGAGCTTTTTGAAGGCAGAAATCTCAAAGTATGTATAATGAATGCACCAGAACTCCAGAAACTTTAATAAGTTAACATGAAAGAAGTTCATTGACAAGTCAAATAATCGAATGTCAGTTTTTGCTCAAAGTATTTGTGGAATATTTTTACATTGTGCAACGTGCCACAGCAGAATATAGATTATTTTTGCTAGTGAATTAACAAATTATAGCTGATTGTTAACACTTTCAACTAGATTCAACTGCTGCTAACTTCTTGTTAATGCAGATGTCTACTGCACATCAGTGCAGTTCGGGTTAGACATGACATTCGAACTGAGCATTAGAGTAGGAAAGAAAGGTGACTTGAGTAACATTTAATGTGGCATGGTTGTTAGTGCCAGACACACTCGTCTGAATAGAGCATAACATAGCTGATCTGCTGGAATTTTCCCACACAACCACCTCTAAAGTTTACAAAAATGTCTGGAAAGAGTGCAGTGAGGGGTGAGAGGCGAATGGCAAGACTGTTATTAGGTGAAAGCAAGACCACAGTAACTCAAGAGCATTTTTGAACACACAATACGTCCAGCATTGAAGCAGATGGGCCACAGCAGCAGAAGACCACACTAGGGTCCCACTCCTATTAAATAAAAACTGGAAACTGAGGCTAGGGTAAGTTGGTAAGCTAGCTGGTTTTACCATTTACTGATTAGTTTGTATTTGTGTGTAATGATGCGAAAACCACACTTCTGTCTGTCTGTGTCATTTACTGAGGCAAGTGTTTCATCGAGCACCTTCTTCAAGACACACTGCCGTGAACGACACTTCTCTCGTTATCATTTGATCCAACGCAGCCAACAAGGTTTTATCTGCTGAGTAACGATTTTCATAAATTGGACATCACAGCCGTACGAAAAGAGCGATGATCAATCCTCGTGCTGCCAGTGTACAAGCAGACAATGAGCCGCCAGTATGAAAAGCTAATGACAGGGCTCCTGTACAGTTTCCATTTCAAAAGAACTTCGATTCTTTTACAGAAATAAAATTTTGAAACATCCTAGTAAACTTTTTAGAACCAAATTAACATCTAACAACACTTCATGAAACCATTTCATATTCAAGACCCTACTTTTTCAAAGGCTGGAGGCTCTTTATTCTGATACCTGGAACAGCAGGATGGTAGTATTTATTTTTCCCAGCTTCATTTGTATTTATGTAGTTACAAAGTGCTAAAAAATAAACTTAAAATAAAAAGAAATTACACAGAATTCAGGGGAATTTCATATTTAACAGAAACAACAGAAAAAATAAATTACAAAAAAAAAATCCTGCCCAACGAGAGACAGGTAAGAGTCTCAACGAGGCATTAGTGTTTTAAAAAGCAAAATTTTAAGAGATTTAAAAGAGGTTGCCGTTACCCTGCCTTAGATCTTCCACCAGGTTTACTGTAAGAAATCAACACATTCAGTGCCTTCACTTTACACACCAAGAGTTGTCACCCCCATAGGTCCATTCTGAGCCAAGAAAATCCCTGAAACAGGCTGTTTATTTGAGAAAATACAGTCTCTGCCTGTCCTTACAGCTAGGGTGACCTTTCATCTCTCTGCTCCAGCTGCAGCTCTGCTCTCACCTCCAGGCTGGGATGCTTGCAGCACCACACGGATAAGCTGGGGCACATCGAAGTACGCAGCGTAGTGCAAAGCCCTCATGTTAGTCCACCGCGAACGAAGGTTTGGATCCGCGCCCAGGGCGAGGAGCTGCTGAGCAAAGCTCGCTGCCGTGTCTGCATCGCCTGAAGAACAGGTCACAAACACAGGTGTTAGAGTTGAGAGGAGTTGTAGTAACAGACAGTAAGTCAGCTCTAGAGAGTGTATTTAAGAAGTGGTTGATGAACAGCTGCACTTACTGAGGTATACAGAATAATGTTCAGCAGTAGAGTGGTCACATAAATTCACACACACATACGTCAGAGTAGATGTCTGTTTATTTCTACCCTGCAGCTGAGAGTGCTTATTCAACATCTCTGTCAATACTTACCAATGCCTGGGGCTCCGGCCTTGCAGCAGTAGTGCAGGAGGCTCATATCTGTCAGACCGTCTCGATCATTCACACCACAGCCTCTCTTTAGTATCTGTGCAAAGAGAAGATATGCAGTATGTGCCACTAAGGACTTGGTGTTGGCGTGCAGAAATCTTCCATAACAGGTTAAAGTGAAATTAGAGGGAAATTGTGTGATGAATGACAAGTAATTTAAGGCTTTCATAACTCTACTCTACTTAAATCTGGACAACAGGTATTACGTAAACTGACATTGAAACAAGGTATTTATTTCTCAAGGGTGATAGTTACTCAGAAAATGATCGCCTTCTTTTACCCTTGAGATGAGTGCTTCTCTGCACAGTTTACTGCAATGCAGCTACTTTGTGTAACACAGGCAGAAGGGATTTGGTGTGTATCTGAACAGAGTCCATAACAATGAAAAAAAAGAAATCAGAATTTATATTAATCTGAAGTCCTCTGAAGTTTCAGTTGATTATATTACGACAAAAATAAAAGCGTTACAGCTACAGAAGGGACCGCTGTGAGATTCCGCAGCAGTTGGACATTTTTTTATGTCACCTCATTGCCGATAAGGTCAATGTTCTTCTGAACCTGGGGCACCCACTGCCTGAGGACAGCAAACAGCTCTGGTATGGTGGTGCTGGGATCCAACAGAACCTCCCTGCATTGCGGCTCACTGGGGTCAAAGAAGGAGAACTCTGGAAGCAATGAAGAGGAACAAAAGTAACACGTGTTAAGTATAATGAGGAGTGGGACTGGAAATATTTCTCTCCCGTGTACAGACACGAAGAGAGCATGTGTGAAACTCTGCAGCACAGACGTTTACTACGTTTCTGCAACTGACTGTTCAATCGATTCAGCAAATTACTAATCTTGGGAAATGCCCTTGCTGCCCTTGCAGAGGCAAATGAAAACAGATGTGACAGTAGATGGCCTGCCGTGAACCAAATGAGGCATTAGATGACCCGGCTGAGGCTGAAGGCAAATGGATTGCACTGTGAAAGGCCAAAAGTTAACACTAACTGTAGTCGGCATGACATTTTTTCATAATTTTGTCTCTGTACGCAACTACAGCAAATCTGAAATGAAATACTTTGATTAAAGATTCAACTTTCAGAGGGTTTTGGAGAAAAAAGGCATTAAACATGAAAATTAGACTTTAAAATACATCACTCACCTCAGAAGTAATTGAACAGTCAAGTGTTACTTGACTTCTATTCACCTCAAAAAACTTCAACACAGTAGTTTCTTAAAGAAATGAAACATCCAAGTATTTAAGGACATTAGAGCAAATCAGCATCAAACCTGCTGAAATGGCTTTACTGATTAATTAGGTAAATCAAGATATAGACGATAACAGTCACCATGTTCTTGTTTAAGAATTAATCACTACAAAAGAACAACCTCAATTTGTAACTAACATATCCAGCTACATTATTAGAACCCGGAGACTCTGTATCACTATCATCTCTCTGTGTCAATTTAAGCCATCAACCTTTCTTCAGTCTCATATCTTGCGGCATTTCACAGCCTGTCGATGCTGCAAAGAGAACGCGTTAACTAGCTTGAAATGTCACATAGCTGCAAAGAGAAAGCGTGAATACTCACCACAGTCACTGGGCATGGGTGCAGAGGCCACCTGGTGGATCACTGGCCGCTGATGAGAAGAGAGTCTAGCGCGGCAGCCCAGGACCGTGTCGCCTTCAACGGGCTCTGAAACATCCTCCTTTGTCATCTCCCCCTCAGGGCCTGCGGCTGGAACAATATTAGAAAGCCTATTCTGAGAACACAAGTAGGTCTAATCTCTCAATAAAAGCACACAGGCTACAGCGATGTCTTCATTTGATCTGGCAGTGCAATACAGGGAAATGCAACTTGTAAGCACAGAACTAACATAATATAAAAAAAACATGGTATTTTAATCTGTGGTGTCGCCTGAAGAATATGGGGCAAAGGCGCATTCAAGCTATCACCCCAACAAGACAGGGATTTTCAAAGAATGTCCGCATTTGACTCATAGCACCTCTGAGAGATTACTTTGCCTGCAGATTAGAAAACAAAGGTGAACACACCAAACTACGAGCCTAATCTCAAAAAAGTGACACTGTAATGGGGACACAGGAAGCTTTCACAGAGGAACCTTGGAGGCTGAACTAGAAGCATACACACACACACACACATAGGTGTAAGCCTGGGAAAGCAACATTGAGCCTAAAATCTTCCCAACCAACCCTCACTCACTGTCATCTTCTCCTTTATCCTCTTTCTTGTTGATCTCCATGCGAGCCTCCCAGTCGTGCTAAGCTAAAATCAAAAGACACAGACTGGGTCCAGTAGAACATCTAACCAAAATCCTTCCCAAAATAACTCCAAAGCTCATCGACTGTCCCCCTCCTCAATCTCCAATAACATCCCCACTCTCTCTGATTATACCCTGTTGATCCCCTGACTCCCAGGTCCAGCAGCTATTTACAGCCTGTACACTTTCAAGCCAAGGAGCTTGTATGTCTGACTCTCCCAGCTGGAATGTCACTCTCACTTTCCAGTCCTGTGTACCTCTGACCTCAATGACATAGAGTAGCCAAGCGTAACCCCTAGTGGAGGGAATGTGGCCTGTAGGCTGCAAACAAACGGTAGGAAAGTGGTGGCTTTGATTAGAAGGCCTGTCGTTCACCATAAAGGCCAGTGTCCAGTTCCCCCTGACAGCAAACATCAGCCCTATTGAAGCAACCATAGGACAGACACTGAATACCTATCAGCCCCAGGGAGAGGGTAGCTGACTTTACACCATGACCTCCATCCATTTGGTGTAAAGGAGAAGAAGAAGAAAAAACACTCACTGTCACAATAGGGTTGTATTATCAAATAAAAGCAATTTCTTTAAAAAAAAAAAAAAAGTATTTGAGCAAATTTGCAAGATATTTGTAGAAATATTTTAAGAAAAAAACTCATATTTCATAAGAAAAGGGGCTTAACAATATTAACCACTCTAGAGCCCTGAAACTGAAGCACCCTTTTTTGATTAGCTTGTGGAACTTCACTTCACAGTCTGATTTTCCAACAGCATGCTCAGGTGACGGTCTGACAAGAGACTAATTATTCTTCAGGAAGTTTGAAAACTTTGGCCTCAACTTTCCGAGTCACAAAGATGTTTTCTTTTAACCTGGATGAATTACACATAACTGAAACAATGTACTAACAAGCAAATTCAGATAACTCATATCAAGACAGGAGTCACCAACATTCTCTGTTATCCCAGATTTCTGCTTCAGCCTCCGAGTGCTCAACATTTATAAAAGAGGGCGTTTGATGTGTCATTTCACACATCTTCTGCACAAAGTTGACAGATCAAGTGCTACCTACTTCAGCCAAAAAGTGTCAGAGGAACAGAGGATAGAAGTCAGTAAAAAAAGAAAAAATATAACGTCTAAAAATTCTCTAACGTGCACATTAGCGCAGTCAGAGCTAAGTAAAATTAATTTTACTGACTGAATTTTGTAGTAATTTATTCACAGCAGTTCCAGCAGTGTGAAGCAGACTTGGCAGTGCCAGAAGATTCAACAGGTTTAATGTATAATACATTTTTCTTCAAACAGAACAGAATCTGTATTCCTATTAAAGTGAAAACTCAAACAATCAATGAAATTGTGGCACTTGCAGAAAATTTTAAAAAAAAGGAATGTGTTTTATACATACAACCTGTTGATTTGCATTTTAACTTTACCATTAAAGGAAGCTGTGAAATTATAGTGACAAACTGTGTGTTTCAAATAGTCAGCAGGCGATGCAGAAAATGTTTAACTGTGTCTATGGGGTATTTAATGTTTAGGAAAACTTGAGAAATAATAAATAAAAGCCTGTAGTGAGTGCTAACATTCATGTATTAACTCAAAAGAATAAATTATTTTCTGCAGCATTACTCTCTTGCCATATTTGCAAAAACAATGTTGCTTTTTATCATTTAATTTTTTTGATGATCATTTCTTTAATCTTTTTTATTACATATAATTGCTCCGACTCAAGTGGGTAGCACTTAAATGGCCCATTTTGTCCAAAAGAAGAGTGAAATGGCTTATTAATTACTCTATTTTTGTGAGCATTCAACTGAGTCAGAAAGTCTGGGTTACAGAAAAAAACTGAAATTATCTCTGACAAAGAATTTAGGATTTGCCAAGCTGATGCAAAGAAAGCAATGACTATGCTGAACTTTCTCAACAGCACACCCCACAGAAGAGTGCACGTGCATGCTTGAAGAGGAAGAGAGTGTGTCTTAACATGTAACTGTTGATCATTTCTTCGCCATTTTTTGTAATTCTGTAATTTCATTGTTGCAAACAGAACATTTGTATATAGATGTATGCTTTAGCAGTGATTGTGATTTCCATAGTTCATGCTGCTAAAGAGTGAGATGAAAAACTACTACCAACCTCTCTGAGGTCACTGACTGGCTGTGTAGAGATTAGGTCTTTGCAGTATGACTTGAGACAATGGCCTACTTCTGCAATAAGCCTCTTCTTGTTTGCCTGACCTACATGATGTCACCATCCCCACAGCTACTGAAGAGACAGCACTCACATATTTTTGATGACTGTGGCCATTTAAGCACCCATTGGCAAGCTACCCATTCTGGCTGACTGTAATGTATGTGGATCTTTTTAAGTTCCATGCTATATCTAGAGAACTATCTGAATTACATCATTAAGCTCATAATGACTTTAACTTCAGGAGCATGGAGCTTCAAAAAACACCCTGATTTTTCTTGAAAATTGATAGCATTTCGTGCACTAGCATATTTGAAGGCCATAAGCAGAAAGAATAATTTTACAGCTATGATGCTGAAATTGAAATAAACATTATATGTGTTATATGTGTATTTTTATTTAGATATTTCACACACACAAAAAAGTGGCATCAATAACTTTAATTGGATTTCTCCATAAAGATTAAATGTCTAGTGGTAATGAAATGTTTAGTGGTAACAACATATCCAAAACGTTTGTTCACAGGCAGCATCCTTGACCTCCATCCATCCTATGCACCAGGCCAAATCATGAACTATTACCCCCTGCATTTGTTTGCTGATGTGAGGTGGGGTGTGTGGATTAGCTTGATTATGCAAGACAGGTTCCTGTTACTCTAATCGGACGCAGGTATGCACTCAAACAACAATAAAGCCATTAAAGGTTAAAGTATTCCTGTCTAAAATATAAGTCCTAAATGACCACACTCGGTCGCTTGAGCTTTAATCAGCTTGAGAAAAGTTATGCAACTTATTATCTAACATCCAATTATTGGAGAGATGGCTTATTTGTGGTTGTTTATACCAGTTTGTGTGACTTAAGTGTGGCCGATTCATTTATATCCCCCAAATCGTTAGCTCACTTCACAGTCGAAGAGGTTAGCAGTAGACACTCTCTCCTCATCTCATACTTTTGTAGCCCTTTAGCAGAGGTAAATATAGCATGTCATCTTTTCAAACGTCCACAAGTGGATTTAATTAATTTCCAAATAACTTTGCCAGTTAAAAGTGTTTTTAAATCGAGCTACAAGCTGACAGTAACAGTTAGCTCGCTAGCATATGTTCAAAAACCGGCTCGGGCTTAGCGACAGATGAAGCACACCTTATATAACTAACACTGCAGACATTGCTCAGTCCCTATAAGCAGCTAGCCGTCCCTGCTTTCACCGTGCAGACGTGAAAGTTACTCAGAGCCCTCCTCTCAGTCACCTTAGCTCCCTGACGTTAATGTTCCCCAACAAGAACACTGGGCCAAAAACATCTGCGCTACTTACAATGCACTTAGCAAGCAGAGAGAGAAACAAGCATCATGTTAGGCTGCTTAATATTAGCGTTACCTTCACCTCCCTCCTTGTTTTGATCCGCCCATGGGGAAAATGTCAGATAGCGGATTTAATTTCCGTCCATTCTAATTGGATGTTACACAGCTGAAATACTTCCTGTTTCAACATCTAGGCTTCAGAATAAAGGCGGTTAATGTACACTTCCGGATTTTAAAATAAAAGTCTTACAACGACCCGTAAAAATAAGATAAGAAATAAATACAACTAAATAACTTTTGAATTGTTTTTGAAAATTAAAAAAACAAAACAAAAAAAACAAAGACACTTTTTTTAAATAAAAGAAACTAACCTGCAATATCTTGACAACATAAACATGACATTAAAGACACATGTTCATTTTATGTATTTATTATTCATTTATATATTGAATGAATAAATGTTCCATTTATTCTTTTCGGGTTTGAGCAACAATTCACTAATAAAGTTAGGAGGATTTTTGCCATCCAGTTGTGGCAAACCTACAAAAAGGCATTATTTTAGCTGCCCTGAAAGTTCCTTCAATTCTGGGATTGTTTGCCACATACTAATGAAAATAATCAACAACTGAATACCAGAACCTGCTGAAGGAAAATACCTCGAAATAGCTAAATTGCACTGTACTATTTTGGTTGCAGAAATTTGGAGTCTTGTTTTTCTGTTTTTGTTGGGCAAAAAACTGTAGAAGAGTCGACAAAAGAGAAACAACTTTATATTACCTTATGATTACTTTATGTAATTAAAATAGCAATGTTTAAACCCAGTGCTTTAGTTTCTTATGGAAGCACTTTCGTGACTGTTAAGTCCATTTCATGTTTTTGTTACAGAATTCATAATTGCTCATCTAAAATAAATGCTCTATTCTGCTATATAGGAAAAGGATACCCATTTTGTTGATGCACTGCTTTATTCTGAAG